CTTTAACCATTCTTTGGTCTTACAACTTTGTGTGGTTTGGCTCACTGTCTTGCTGCGTGACTCACTTTCACGGCGAGATATACCCTGACGTTTTTCCTGTAGAATTTGCCAGCAGAATTCAGACTTCTATCAAGCCGTCCCAGTCCAGAAGCAGCAAAGCGAACCCAAACCACAATCCTGTCACTCGCGTGTTTCACAGATGGGATAATGTTCTTATGCTAGAATGCAGTGTTTGCCTTTCGCCAAACATAACACTTTTCATTCAAGCCAAATTACATTATGGTCTCATCTGTTCATAGAACATTTGTTCCAACAGCCTTCTGGCTTATTCTCATCGTCTTTTACAAAATGTAGACAGGCAGCAGTGTTCTTTTTGGAGAGTAGTGGCTCTCTCCTTGCGCTCCTGCCATGTACACCACTGGTGTTGAGTGCCGTCCTGACGGTGGTTCTCACGAATGCTGACATTGGCAAATGCAAGAGAGGCCTTTGGTTCCTTAGATGTTACCCCTTTGAGTCCTCTCAGAGAATTATATATTTTGCTTTTGATGTGATCTTGGTTGATCTCTTCAACAATGCTGTTGAATTGCCTTTATTTGTACACAATCTGCCTGACAATAGACTAGTGGAATCCAAACTCTCTGGAAATAGGTTTTTTTAACCTTTTCCAGCCGTGACACACTTCCACACACCTGTGTGGTGAAGATCAGATTTTTAATTCTGTTCTTTAAATAAAGCAGGGCCTCCCATGTTCATACCTAATTATCATCCCATGGATTTAATTTCATGGACTCTTTTAATTTCTCCTTCAAACGAACTGATAATCCTAGAGATTCATGAAATTTTGCCACACACAAATATGCAGCTTTGGATCATTTTCCTTAATAAATGATCAAACTAATACAATGTTTCTCATTCATTTGTTCTTTTTAATCTGGCTTTAAGAGATGAGATCATATTTTAGATCATATTTATGCAGAAATATTGAATTTTCAAAGGGGTTCACAAACTTTTAAGCACCATTGCAGTATTAATTAATTAATTCTTCTTCTTCTTCATCCTCATCATCATTCTAGCCATTGTTTATCCATGGCAGAATGAAGGCCTCTTCCCAATACGGTTCTGAGCTTCCTTTTGCCAGTTGGGCCAGGAATACTTGCTGATGTCGTCGATCCATCTTGTTTCGTGTCTTTTTCGTGGACGCTTTTTATCAAGTGGGATCCATTCTGTGACTGCTTTGGTCCACCTGCCACCAGTTCTTCTTGCTATATGACCAACATTCTCTTTGGGAAAGATGGATGGCTATTTAAATCTGATTAATTAACCAAAATTAACTTAATCAATCCAATTTAAATGGCTATCCATCTTCCCCAAAGAGAATTGTGTATGGCACATAACAATTAAAAAAAACAGCCAATATAAAAAAAAAAAATTTAATTGAAATTTTTTATAAGTTTTACAATATACCTCCCCTCCTCCCCAAAACCCACCCTTCCCTACCGCCCTCCCTCCCCCCCCGACTTCCCAGAGCCAATCACAGGGTTAACAATACAAAAAGCATACTCTATATCTAACATTAGATCACTATTAGATTAACAAATCTATAACATCCTTTAACTCTCTTCTAAACAAACGTATTAAACACAATAATTATAACATCTTATTACTATTTATAAATAAAAATAAACTACATTAACACTCTAGAGTTTACTCAAAAACCAAATGAAACTTTTTAGTTCCATATTTACTCTCAATATAATCTATCCATCTTCTCCAAACCAAGATATATCTTTCTTGTGAATAGTCCTTCACATAGGCAGAAATCTTAGCCATTTCTGCTAAATTTGAAACTTTGAATACCCAATCTTCTATAGTGGGCAAACGTTATATAAAATTGATAGGAATCTAAAAAGTCATAGCAATAAATAGCACAAAAACCAAAATACTAAACTTGCCTCATAATTTCCGTGTCCTTTGCTTCCTTTCTTGCCGGACAGATTCATAGCGTCACGAGCCCAGTTGTCCACTAGTTTGTGCAGATCATCAGTAAAAGTTCCTTTCCGACTAGAGGCAGGGGGCTGAGACTGAGGTGCCTGGCTGTTTACTGTACCCCCAACAGTGTTTACACTGCTGGTCCCTGGAAAAAGAAAAGCAGCTATCGTTTACATTTGATTGAAACAGAATTCCCTGGAGGCCATCAAGAATTACAATGCAAAATAAGAGCAATAATTTAAAAAGCCATGCATATGAAGTCTACTTGGACATAATGAAAAGGAAGGATTTTAGAGCTCAGCTAGCAGTTTTTCTGCTATTAAGTTAATTACGTAATTGTATGTTATTTTTCACATCAGTGGGTGGTCTGCAAAGTTGCCGTTTTCCACAGGCAAGTGGATTAACATTGGGCATTAATAACAAGGTTGTCGGGAGGTTTCCTCCCGATTGTCTACAAGTATCTATTATGCCTGGTTAACCCATTTGCCAACTCTACCCACTCAGTTCAATACCAAGGAATTGTGTATTCATCGGGGTAACCACTCTGTTCTGCAGATGGACAATCTGAAACCTCAAGAACACATTACTGGAAAGAAACACTTGTGTTACTGGCAGCAATCATGAAACAAAAGTGTACTAAGAGCGCACTGACTTCACATCCCAACACACACACAAAAAAAATGACATTTGGCAGACAATCTCCTTTGCTTCAAGCTGAGATGCTGGCTTCCAGGGAAGCCTGCTTATTTAGTTCCAAAGGTTTCATACCATGGGATGGAATGACCTCAATACATCTAAAAAAAAAAAAAAGCACAAGGAGCTACTTGAATAAAAAAAATATGGCACTTGCTAGAATCAGATCATAAGAATAAAGACAAGTTCGATATATCCATGGGTACATGCCAAAGGCTTTCCAGTGGCAAATCTGCTGAAATGGTGCGGAAAAGTATTATTTGCTTGTAATAGTTAGTCGAATAGCAGAAACTTCAACGCAAGTCTTGAGAACTTCAATGTGTTATGAAAAAAATCACCCATAACCAAAACAGATAGGTTCACCAATTTATAAAACAGAATCTGAACCCAGGAAGGTCACTGTATAGGTAATGTGGAAAAAATTGCAGTATAAGTCAATTAGCATACTGATCCTAAATCACCCCCAGGTCAAGTGAAGAAAGGTTCTTACAATACAAAGAGAAAGATTTTGTTCATATATATCAGTGTTTCTCAACCTTGACAATTTTAAGGCATGTGGACTTCAACTCCCAGAATTCCACAGCCAGCATTGCTGGCTGTGGAATTCTGGGAGTTGAAGTCCACATGCCTTAAAATTGTCAAGGTTGAGAAACACTGATATATATATAGAACTTAAAGCACAACAGAACAGTATGAAAGTACTCCCAATGCTGCCGTTTAAAAAAGTACTGGAATCTAAGTTTTATTTTAAAAAGTCAGAGGGGGGGGGGATGAAGAATTTGTGCAGCGCTTTGGATCTGAGCGCAAAGAGGTGCTTTGGCGCTTGCAGGGGCACACATTTTGCAATTATATGTAGTAGCCACATGCATCTTCAGTGGGAGGCAAGACTGACAAGTGACAAAACATGCATTGCGTGTGAAGTTCAAACTTTGCAACTTTCATACTTGTACCCAATGTTGGGTTACAAGCAAAAAAGGGCAGGTTTGCACTGCAATGTTACTCTGTGTGTGTGTCATTTGTGTGTCATAATGAATGGCAGGGATACCCATGACTACAATTCCATATCCAAACATCTTCTCCTGGGATTGGTAAGTTCTACGGGCCTGGCCCCAAGTGCTCCTAAGCACTTTTTGCCTTCAGATCCAAACTGCTGCGCAATCTTAAGTCTCTGTGGCACTGTGCATTATGACAACTGGATCCTATTGCTTAAAAACTAATAGTTAAAGGTTACAGACAGTAACAACTGGATTCTGGATCCCTAGACCTGATAAAAATGCAAGTGGAGAAATAAAAATCCTTATCTGTGATAGCAGTGAGGCAAGGCGTTACTGCACTGTGAAATACTGTATAAGCAAGCAAGGTGATTAACTAAGAGACAACCATCTCCCCCAAACTGAACAGACAGAAGGGGGTAAACATGCAAACAAGAAAATGGACAAAAGAAATCCTTTGCCCAGGTGAGAGAAATGAATGTGGTATTGAATCACTGTTACTGTGTAACATGCAAAGGAACTATATTTGATACAATAGGCTGTAACATAGGCATAAGTCTACTGATAGAGAAACAGCCAGCCACACATCAGCACAGGTAACAGACAATAGTGAAGAAAAGGAAACCACCTTCACATCATGCCTAAAAGCTTTGTCATCAGTTTCATGCAGGGACTAGAAGATATTCTTCAGCCCCTTCCTGATGGCCATAAAAGATACATTGCTAGGTATAGTGCCTACAAGACATTGGGGTAAGATAGATGGCGTGAATCCTAAAGTGTGACCAATCTTTCTCTTTCACTAGCTGTTCGGCATGCACCCAATTGCCTCAGAAAACTCACTAAGATAATTAGATAAGGACTTATACCATATTAAAAATGACCTCAATTGTTAAAAGTAACCAATTTTTAATCTATTAAACCAGCCATCAAGAAGAGTCTGACAAGAATGTGGATCAGTGTCAATAGAAAACAACTTCCCCTCAATCTTGCTCAGTCACAGCAAATATTATAGAATTTTATTTTGGCTCTTATCTTTATAAAGAGATCACAGCTCTTTCTCTCCCTGACTAATCACTGCATTAGCTCTTTTTCCTAACTCTGCCAACGTGCTTCACTCCATTTACAGGAAGTCCTCAAATTACGACCACAATTGGGACCAGAATTTCTGCTGTTAAGGGGGTCTCGCCCAATTTTGCAACTTTTTTTGTCCTGTTTATTAAGGGAGTCGTTGCAGTTGTTAACTGGATCAGGTGGTCATTAAGAGAATCTGGTTTCCTTCATTGACTTTGCTGTCTGAAGCTGACCTGGAAGGTCACAAATGGTGATCAAATGAGACCCGGACCTTACAACCATCATAAATATATGCCAGTTGCTAAGCACCCAAATTTGGACTATGTGATCTTGTGGATGCTGTGACAGGGGTTAAGTGCAAGGACCGGTTCTAAGTTACTTTTTTCAGTGCCATTGTAACTTTGAATGGTTGCTAAATGAATGGTTATAAGTTGAGAAATGCTTGTATTATACCTTTATTAATGACACTTTTTCTTATGCTGTAGGGCAGAGGTCCCCAATATTTTGGGCACCAGGGACCGGTTCCATGGAGAGAGGTTTTTCTGCAGACTGGAGGGTGCGTGGTTTTGTGTGCTGCCTGCATCCCACAGATGGGGCTTTGCTTGTTTGTGCAGACCGGTTGCTGGCATGCCGTGGCCGGGTACTGGTCCACGGACCGGGGGTTGGGGACCCCTGCTGTAGGGTCACTTTGAGGTCATTTGCTTGCTAGTGGTCCTTTAACATAACATACTGGTCATATGCAGCTGAATCAGTGCTTACAGAAATCCCCTTTTGATATAATTATCATAACCAAATTCCTTCCAAAAAGGGAATGTGCCTTCTAATATGATATGAAAATTACTAGAGTCAATATATGCTAGAGCCTCATGATTAATCTCCAAGAAGTACATCATTAAGTGACGATCAAAGTTATCCTTTGTAGTAGTAATGGGATGTCCAAGTCTACTTCTGCAATAATGCAGAAATGCATATTAGAAGGAACAAAGAATAGTTGCTGTGCTTAAGACAGATTCAGGGAGGTAAAACTGTATGGCGTTGAACAAAACAACATAGCTTAGCAATCAGAATTCAGAGGTAACCATAAATGAAATAATTACTACAGAGCTGGTTGCAAGGGCAGACTTTTTTCACCATCTTCCCTAAAGCATAAAGAGAAAGCAATTGGTTAAAGAGAAACAGTGAGAAATACAGTATTAGCAAATAGCATAAAGCACCTGGTGATAAAGTAGGAAAACACAACAGGTTATCATCCCTTAATGACACTGTTTTTAATTCTTGAGTGGCCTTATAGCAAAACACATCATGACAACTTTCAAGCAGAGGAAGAGCAGCAATATGTCAATTTAAGTACATAGTGGTACTTGTTTAGAATTTCTCGAGTACATTATGGCTGTGAGATTTTTTATAAGGTAGGGTAATTTCAATTAGTTTTTTGATCATTCAAATTTTCTTCTTGTTTAAAAAAACATTACCGTCAAATTGAATTTAAAGATAAATCTGAACTGAATGCAGTATTGAAACCTTTCCTCTCGTTTTTAATTGACTTCAAAACAGAGTAACAACAAACAAACCTACCAAAGTTTATTTGTAACTGATACAATGATTGGCTGATTTAGTCCTCAAACCAATTTCACTTTTCCTAGAAGATCAGTGCCATCCAAAGTAAGAAGGAACCTGTTGAACCTTTTCTACTTTTATGCCAAGTGTATAAAGACACATGTTATTGAGGCCAGCCTCATATTTGCTAGTAAGGACCTTTTCCCCTATACAATCTATTGACAAAAAAAGACAGACTTCAGGAAAACAGAAAACCTGTTAAAAGCCATGCTTCCACAAGCATTGCCAAGTTTTAGGGGACAGCAGAAATCAAGTGATGCCAAATTGAAGGCATTATAAACTTCCATTATTTTTAGGCCCCTCCAAACTTTTCCCCCACATGGCTCATAGTTCACAGAGTATTTATGTACCAAAAAAACCCCTCACAAAAATCCCACAGAGCAATTATACATGTGAATTACCCACATCCGTGCTATTAATTATCCTCAAAATAATTACTGTTTTCTGAGATTTTTATTTTACTGCAATTTAGTATTTTCCAATCACTTTTTTTTTTCCAGTCTTGGCTAAATCGCCATTTAACAGCACCTGGCTGATCATGTCTGGGCTCAGAAATTAAGGCATATGAAATTCAATTACTGAAATTTTCCTCTAAAATCAATTCAAGGGAAGAAATATTTTTCTCCCAATTTCATTCATGAACATCTGTCCACACATCACTCATATGATGAGAAGACAGGACCGTAATACGTGTAAATTAAACTAGCCATATCTTTACGCAGCTTGTAGATCAGCTCTCTAGCCTTCCTAGATTTTTGTAAATCATGGTAGTGGGAGATCAGATGTATTCCTTAGTTTCTAACTGAACTGTGAGCAGTTGGCCACATAACATTCAGGGGAAATTGTCTTCTTGATCTGAAGCACATCAATGGAAAAAAAAATTATATCGCTTCTCTTGGAGCAGATATATCCCCCTAATCTTGCTGAACTGCTATTGTGTTCAGCCAGTGCTATACTCATACTTGTGCATGCTTGTTTACCTGAGTTGACAAAAACAAGTCCACACAGATGAACAACAATCTGTTCACTTCAGAGTTGTGTGAATTAGTTTCTCATGTCCACTAGGAAAGGGATAAGCACCTCTCTGTCTGGCATATCTTGTCCCTGGCCATTATTTCTCTATACACTACAGAGAAATTTAAATGTCTAGGCAAGGAATCATAAAATTGTCTCCTTGTAACCTGAAGGACCATATACAACCTCTACTACCACCAGAACCTTTTAGCTGAGCAGCAGGGTAACAATTTCAGAACACTGTTTTCTGCAAGCTACACTTCTCAGCCAAGCCCTAAGGTCAGAGAGATACAAGAAGGCAGATGTAAATGGACAGCATGTGATAACAGATCCAAGTAGCCGAAAACAAAAAGACGAGGAAGGAGTAAAGGTGTTACACACAAAGAGCCAAGCAGGGCGTACTCAGAAATCGGGTCCTCCTGCCACCAGGCTTGAATGTCACCCGCTCAGATGCACAGTTAAACTTCACACAGCCTGTGATAAAACAAAAAACAGAAAAAAGGGGCGAAGAACAAGGACAGGAGATAGAACACAACTACAAGATGTTAGAGAACTCTAGGCTGGACTGGTGAAATGCATTAGCAAGACACAGGAGAAAGAACCTCAACCAACTGAGAGCTTTACACAAGACACAAGAAACCAGGACCTTTCTCTCTCCCCCCCCCTCCAAATAATCACGTCTCCAATATCATGTTGTTTCTGATACCAGAACACAACTATTTTAATCCAACTGCATGCATTTAATCCAACTGCTTGCCATAAGTAATATATATTATAGCAACGGCACGTTAGGACATAATATTGTACAATTTGAAAGATATGTAAGATTTAAATCAGTATGCTCCAATGACTTCCTTCTATGGTTTGGAAGGAGCTCTGACTAACATTTCTGTATTGTACTATTTCATTTGTCCTTATCTCATCCTTATTTCACATGCCTGATCTGTTTATACAATGAAACTGTACTTATTCCAACATTTATTTATAAGGGTGGAATCAATGATCAGAGTACACTGTGCAAATCTTCCAGAAAGCTTAGTTTTCAAACAAGTATAATGGGACAGACAAGCTGATCTATCTTATTTTGGCTAAGCCAGGCTCTAGAAATCTTGTCATCCTCTGATGCAGAGAAGCCCCACAGAACTCAATGTTACTGACACCCATCTACAATATTTACCTTGGCCTGGTGCAGAAAGGCTTGGAACAGAAATGGCACCATCACTAGTAAAAGCTGAATAGAGATTTTCACTAGAAGGAGATGGCTTCAGTGGCTGCAACAGATGGTTCTGTCCTGTTTCAGGGACACTGCCAGGAGGGTGCAGGGTCTGCTGCTGGGGTAGAACTGAAGGGGCACTCTGAGCAGACAGGTTTCCTGTGCAGGGAGAGAGGAGAGCAGAAATCAAGGCACTGGTAATATAGTGAATCCTCTGCTTTCCAATCCTACTAATCATGTTAAAAATTTGGTCATGATCGCTAATGACAGATAGGTGTTTGCATTAGCTATTCAGGCTGAAATTACAAGAGTAAAATTCATTCAGAAACCATCAATCTCTATTTAGAGGGCCCTGGTTGCAAATGAACATTCAAGTGTTCACATATGATGAGTCAATTTGGTGTACTGGTTAAGGCAGTGATGGTGAACCTATGGCCGCGTGCCAGAAGCGGCACTCAGAGCCCTCTCTGTGGGCACACGTGCCGTTGCCCCAGCCTTGCCTCCCCCCATGACCCCCCCTCACCAGCAGCCCCCCTGGAGGAGAGTCGCTCCTGAGCGTGGCCCATGTGGAGCAGCGCAGCCAAGGACATGGCAGCCAGGCAGCGTAGACAAGACTCTGCCCTCACGGCCCATCCAGCACAGTTGATGCTGCGGGGCCGGGCAGAGGGCGTGGCCGCCATGGTGCTGCTGGGCTGCCTGGGCGATCTGCGGTGGGCCCTGGAGGCAGTGAGTGGCCCTGCGGGCAGACGGGGTGGGGCGGGACAGGGGGTGGAGCAGGGGTGGGGCCAGTTTTTGGGCACTTGGTCTCTAAAAGGTTCGCCATCACTGGGTTAAGGCATCAGGCTAGAAATAAGGAGACCGTGAATTCTAGTTCCACTTTAGGCACAAAGTCAGCTGGGTAACCTTGGGCCACTCACTTTCTCTCAGCCTAAAAAGGAGGCAATGGCAAGCCACTTCTGAAAAACCTTGCCAAGAAAACGGCAGGGACCTTTCCATGCAGTCTCTGAGAATCAGACGATGGAATGGAAAAATTTAAAAAAAGGTTAACAAAGCATAGTTGCTGTCTTCACATGATGGGGCTCATTTTTACTACACAGATCAGGAGTTGTGAATCTCTAGCCCGTTGAAGAATTAGGAGAGGTTTCATATTCAGTTTTCAGTATCTATTCCTCTTCTGTCCCACCATTTATGCCACATTTCTGCTAGAGAGGATCTCGGGGAGTGAGCAAATATTGAGAACTAGGGAGGCGTTTCCATGGTGAATTCAACAGAAGCTAAAAAGAAAAATGGGTGCTTTGGAGGGATTGTGTATTAAATAGTAAGGGCTGACAGGTAATCTCTTGAATACTGCCATACAGCCATTTGTCTGAAATGGTATAGGGTTTCCTGCCTGAGCAGGGGGTTGGACTAGATGACCTCCAAGGTCCCTTCCAACTTTATTATTATTAAGGGAGTTAAGGGAGAATTCCTTAACAAATCTTCCCTCTAAATCAGAAGGTTTTAATTTAACTAGCATGAAACCCTAAGAAAGTAACAAGAGGAAACAAACTATGGATGGGGATATATTAATTACAGTCGACCTGGAATAGCATCAAGCCAGAGTCCACTGTACTCTGGAGCCCTACTATCTGATTGTCAAATATTTGTACATGAATACAAATCAGATTAATAAATAATACCTTAGAAAATAGAAATAAAAAACCAGTACCAGTGAAAAATAATTTGGGATATTGACTACAAATAGGCTATATGATATGGCTACAAAAATGGATATTCAGCTTTAAGCTGCATTAACAAAATATAATTCCCAAATCATAATTCCTTTCTATTCTATTCTCCAACTCAGCACGCTGCATCCAGTTGTGTGCATTACATTACAAGGAAGATTCAGAACAACTGGAACAAGCTCAGACAAGAGCAACAGAAGTGATCAGCAAAGTAGAAACTAAGACCTAAAAAGTGAGATTGAAGGACCTACAGATAGTCCTCGATTTATGACTGATTGGTTAACAACTGTTTGAGGTTACGATGGACTTGAAAAAAGTTACTCACAACTTGTCCTTGAAATTATTACTGCTGCAGCACTCTGTGGCTACGTGGTCACATTTTGGGCATTTGGCAACTAGCTCACATTTACAACTGGTTGAAGCATCCAGTGGTCATGTGATAGTAAATTAAGGTAGGGCTCGCAAAACTGCCTATTGGATAAGTTAGATTTATGATCACATGATTTGGTTAACAGCTATACGATTCGCTTAATGACCAGAGTTGATTTAACCACCACTGTAAAAATAGCCCTAAAGCTGAATCCAGTCACGTTGTCTCTACAGACACAAATAGGGGAAGACTTAGCTACAGTTGAGCTACTTCAGCAAGGCCTTTACTGAGAATTCTGGATAATCAGGACACCTAAGTTAAGGAGGTTACTTGAAGTATGATAAAATAAGTGGCCAATTGTAAGAAAATAAGATGCCCCTCTGTTAAGTTTGAGGTGTGTGTGTGTGTGTGTGTGTGTGTGTGTAAAGTGGTTTGGCTGAAACAAAACGGAAACTGTAGCAAATTAAATGGATATAAACCAGGCCACCAATACAAAAATGAAAACTACTTTAACTCAGTACCGAATCAACTGCACCAACTAGGACAACTTTTCCTACCTTTTTAGAAAGCTTACCCAATATCTGAGGGCTCTTATTGCCCTGGGAACTGCTGCGACTGGACCGGCTGCTTTTCCCTTTCGTAGGTCTTCTTCTCCTGCCTGAGAGAGGGGCAGCAGGAGGGATGATTACTGCTGGAGGGACTTTGCCCAACTTTGTGTAAAGGAGTTCAATCTCCAGCTTTTGACGACTCTGAAGTTCCTGGATCTCTTTAAGGTGCCTGCCAAATGAAAAGATGGTATACTTATACATTTGTGAGTCCTTTACATGATACTGTCTAGACCACGGATGTCAAACTCGCCGCGTCACGTGATGTGTCGCGACGTATCATGACTTTTTTTGCATTGCCGGAGCTGGGGTGGACGCAGCCTCCATATGATGCAACCGGCCCGCAGGCCAGCAGTTTAATAATAATAATAATAATAATAATAATAATAATAATAATAATAATAATAATAATAATAATAATAATAATACTACAAAATACAGAGACCTACAAATAGAAATAGAAAGACTGTGGCAAAAGCAAGCAAAAGTAGTACCAATAGTAATAGGCGCCTTAGGTGCAATTCCAAAACAACTGGAGCACAACTTGAACACCATTGGCATTGACAAATTCGCTATTAGTCAATTGCAAAAGGCGGCCTTACTAGGAACTGCTTCCATCCTGCGACGATATCTGTAATACCATCAAACATCCACATCTGCCTATCCCAGGTCCTGGGAAAGGACTCAATAGGTAGACAAAATGCCAAATCCAGTCTGAACATCTGGCTGACTGTGCGATGATCCATAATAATAATAAGTTGGAAGGGACCTTGGAGATCATCAAGTCCAACCCCCTGCTCAGGCAGGTAACCCTATACCAGCTGACTCAGGAATTCTGGGAGTTGAAGTCCATGAGTCATAAAAGAGCCGAGGTTGCCTACCCCTGCTCTATACCATTTCGGACAAATGGCTGCCCAGTTTCTTCTTAAAAACTTCCTGACACCCCTGATCTAGACCAATGTGTTTGTACTGCTCTATTACCTGTAAGTAATATAAGGAACTGCTCCTACCCATCTGGCCTTCTGGAACCTGGAACGGCTTGGGGGCCCTGAGGAAGGCACTCTACGGTGGAGTGGCTGATGAAGTAAGCAGATTCCCCCCCCTCCCATGCCGTCCTTCCCCTTGGCCTTAGTTTTTTTACATAATTCTTTTAGTTTAAGTTAGCTAGTTTATTTCCATGGATTTTGGGAAATTCATGCTGTTTTCTGGCTTTAATGCTTCAGCCCATCCTTCCCTCACTGAACACTATGTAAGCTGTGGGACCCCTGTTCCCAGAATTAGTAATCATATGGTCCTTCCAGCACACTCAGAAGATGCCAGATGGGGGGAAAACTTGAAATCGCTGCTGCTGTAAATTTCTTCCTATCTTTAATTTCAACGGTTGTTTTATTCATTTTTGAATAAAATATAAAACATGTGCATGCACACACATAATGTATGCTTAGCATTTTTGTACTGTGATCTTAAATTTGCATTTTAACTCTTTAGCTTCTTATTCTCGTTCAAGTCCCCAAGTGCTGCTGCGTGACGGGGTGAGCTCCCGTCATGTGCTCCAGCTCCTGATGACCTGGCACAGGGGTAGGCAACCTTGGCTCTTTTATGACTCGTGGACTTCAACTCCCAGAATTCCTGAGCCAGCCATGCTGAGGGGAAAGGGAGAGGTTTCCAAGCTGAGCCATGTTGGCTCAGGAATTCTGGGAGCTGAAGTCCACGAGTCATAAAAGAGCCAAGGTTGCCTACCCCTGACCTAGCAGTTCGAAAGCATGTAATCGCAAGTAGTTAGGCACCACTTTGGGGGGGGGCACATTAATGGGAATTGAAAGGAGCCCCCAACCGGGCAACCCCCAATGATGTCCCCGGCTAACCCTTTCAACCCAGAAGCGTCTGAAGTACTTCTGATATGAATGCGAGCGCGAGCTCCTTATTTTGGTTTGAAATTTTGTTAGCTGTTTTAAGTGCTTGCCTTGGGGCCAAAAGCCTAGAGATGATTCAAACAAATAAAATAAATGTAATCTGGAGAGCTTTAGCTATAAGCTGTAGGCAGAAGGTTCTTACCTCCTTGACTATTTTTTAAAAACTTCTTTAATATAAAATTGAAGAGGATAATAAGACGTTGCATCATTTTTATTTGCAGAGAAATTCTTCAGCAAACATTTCTTGGGATTGCTAATATGAGCATCCCAGAGACCAGCTTGTCTTCTGCTTAATGGTTTGCAATTGCCAAGGTAATCATGGAAGTTTTATAATAATTAGGCAAGTCTCCCCCGGCAGCCATTTTGTGAGTGTGCCCACTACAAAGACTCAAAATTCTAAATATGCTCAGTCCTAAAAGTTATTTACTCTTGCATTGGATAAAGGAAACCAACTCAGAGATGGGAGTATTTCTTCTCACTAGCTACCATAAACCTGAAGCCTGAAAACTTACTTTTCCCGCAGTTGACGTAGCTCACACTTCAAATCTTCATCTTCTATGTCTGACTCATTATCGCTGCTCATGTAGGAAGAGTTGAATGAGTTGCTGAGACTCTGGACTGGAAGACTGATTTTGGAAACGGGTGGATGAAGAGAATCAGGACTCCCCAAACCATCGTCAAACTCTTTAGCTGCACCACTCAGGAAAGCAGCTTCCAATTCAGATGACGGTCCATTCAGATGCAGAGATGGCCTTCTCTGGGCAAATTCCGATTTAGGAGTTGTAAGTGGAGAAGAAGCTTGCTCAGAGTCCACGGACAAAGGGACCACTTCAGGAATCTCTCTCTCTACACAGGCTACCTCATCTTGAGTTCTAGACACAGAAAAGCGACCAACTGTGTCTGTCGTTGTGGTCACCTGGAAACGTCCAACCTTGGTTGGCTGCAAATGAACGGTGGGAGGGACTCCGCCATCCACTGCATCCACTGAAGTAACAGGAATATTATCTGCTGTCCCACTGAAGATTTGCTTCACGAGAGTACTTTCTGGACTGCTGCTAGACAAAGATGAGGATTCCGAGGTTGTTGTATCAAAGTGCTTGGGTTTACTTTCACTGTCTTTCTGATCATCCACAGCCACGGACACCTAATTGTAACAGAGATATTATTAACTCAGTGTAGTTGTAGAAACACATAAGGCGTATAGCACTTTAGGTCCCTGCACTGAAAAGATGACAATATACATTTATACGTTGTGAAAGAAATATGGAGAGGGAGTAAAATGAAGCAGAATTTGTCTCAATTGTAGAAACAAGGGGTATTAATAGAGGGCCTAAGAGATGTGCCAAAAGCTTAACAGAAAAAGCCATGACAATTTTAAATATGTTTTTCTCTTTACACACATTTAGTTAAAAAGCCAATCATTGCACTGGACTGTTCATTGATAAAATGATCGTTCCTCAATACCAGTCAATACATGATCAGAGCTGTGGCATTGGCCTATTTTTCCTATTTTAAATGTTACTGTAATGTTTAGCAAGATACTGTTCCTGATTCTGAACTATGAATCTCAGCCAATTTTAAGAGATAATGGAGGACCACAGTTTCCCACTACCAGTTTGTACAATAGTGGTGTTAATGTTCTAGTCCATCCGGAACAGAAATAATTATTTTCCCTCAGTGCTCTCCTTTGGAAATCTTACTTTTGTGTTTTACTTTTTAAAAATGGATGTTTATATTATTTTAAAGACTTTTCCTTTTTTTCTGGAAACAGAACGTCTGGTTGAAGAGTTATATGCTCATGTATAAGGAGAGTGCAAAAGTTGGCTTGAAACTCAACATTAAGAAAACCAAAATCATGGCATCCGGCCCTCTCAATTCCTGGCAAATAGATGGGAAAGAAATAGAGGTAGTGAGAGATTTTATTTTCTTGGGCTCCAAGATCACCGCAGAGATGGGGACTGCAGCCAAGAAATTAAAAGATGCTTGCTCCTGGGGAGGAAAGCTATGGCAAATCTAGACAGCATACTAAAAAGCAGAGACATCACCCTGCCAACAAAAGTGCGTATAGTCAAGGCCATGGTTTTCCCAGTTGCAATGTATGGCTGCGAAAGTTGGACCATAAGAAAGGCTGAGCGACAAAGAATTGAGGCCTTTGAACTATGGTGCTGGAGAAGACTCCTGCGAGTCCCCTGGAATGTAAGGCGATCAAACCGGTCAGTCCTAGAGGAGATCAACCCCGACTGCTCTTTAGAAGGCCAGATCCTGAAGTTGAAACTCAAATACTTTGGCCACCTAATGAGAAGGAAGGACTCACTGGAGAAGAGCCTAATGCTGGGAAAGATTGAGGGCAATAGAAGAAGGGGACGACAGAGAATGAGGTGGCTGGATGAAGTCACTGAAGCAGTAGGCGTGAGCTTAAACAGACTCCAGAAGATGGTAGAGGACAGGAAGACCTGGAGGAACGTTGTCCATGGGGTTGCGATGGGTCGGACATGACTTCGCAATTAACAACAACAACAACAACATGCTCAGATAGTAAACCACTATCCTGGGGAATATTTATGGCTAAGTGCTGGGAATTAACGATCACAACACAAACACATTCAGCACAACAGAAACTAAATTAGGAATACTTTTGGACTAAAATTAATCCTATTCTGATCCCACTACTGCTTGGTTGTCTTATTTACACAATATGTTAAAGTCAAGATGGTGAACAGAAATTATGAGAAAATAACTTGGCATTGTGGGAAAAATTTAGTGGGAAATTCCAGGAAGAGCATTCTGCCTGACATTTTGTTGAGACGCAGGACCATTTTCACACAATTATAGTTTTTCTTCTGTTCATCTAAGCAGCAAAATAACTGAACAAGCACGCACCAATGTTTGCTTCAGTATCCAAGCAAATGTACATCAGAATATATACTTTTTTGTTACAATAAAGTTACAATATTTGAACTTTTTCAATTTATCTGCAATTATGCCATCTTTGCCCTCACAGTAAATATCCAAATTAAAAATCCTTCTGTTTTTGAGGGAGGCAGGAAGCCTTGGGTATTTAAAGGATGGAACAAGGTTTGGGATGGGATGAAATCTTCCCCTTTTCTGGCATCTTTTCTAATTATAACTTTCTTGACAGTGGTGATGGGCTCTAATAACAGCCATTTGTCTACGATAAACCCATCTTGTAAAAAAGGAGTAATAACACTCCATGCTAATACCTGAAAACGACCCATCTTAAGAACTGCAACTCCTGAGGTGCTACTTGTGGCAAAGCTCTCTGCATCCTGAGAACCTGAAACACCAAATGAAAAAAGAATGTGAGATACAAGTCTCTATCCCTTAACCATGGAAAATAAATTCTCTGTGGGAAAAAAAATCAATTGAAAATATTAATTACTGGTATATCAAATTAAGTCAGTCAATGATGACATTACTGAACTTGACAGGCCAAGGTTCAGAATCCATACAGCAGTTTGTTATGTTCCTACGTTCCATTATGAAGTCTAACAAGCTTTTATTTGTGGCTGCCTTTTAATACTGCCGGAACCTCAAAACTTTAGAATTGGGAGGATGATGAACGAATTTAGGGAGGTCACACTTACTCTGCCTGGACAAGCCAGAGAAGGAGTCCAGTTCTGCATTTGCAAACAATGGTGTCTGTGGGTGGGTCAAAAGAGGCAAGCTGGCAGAGGTAACACTGCAAATGAAAGGGCTACATATGTGCACCAATGGTGCTCTTAGATGCCTTTCCTTCTTTGCCACCTGCCTATCAGCAACAGTAGCCACCACTCCCATGTCACCTCATCCAGCCTCTCTTTCCCTGACAGCTGTTGGCTGTCTTTGTACTCCTTCCCATTGGCTCTGCTCTGCTCACCCCAGCCGGAGGAGGAGGAGGAGGAGGAGGGATGCCAGGTAGCTGAGAGTGGAGTCACTTCAGGGGCTACCCTAAATTCCCAGGCATCAGGCACAAATATGAGAGAATGGCTGTTTTTGGAAGGAGCAGAGAATGGAAACAGCAATGATGGCAGCATTTCAGGGTGAACCCTGGCGAACCTGGAATTGTAGAGGGTTGTTCTTTCTAATTCAAAAGGGACATGAATGTTATTGTTTCCGAGGCAGCAGGAACAAAAGCGAGATGCTGGTCTGCCCCCTACTAGCCATATTCTGTTGAAAGGCCAAAGCAAAGAAACTTGGGGCCTCTCCTGCTAGGACTTCTCCTCGTCTACCGTAACATATTAGTCAGGAGCTATGCCCAGATATGGAGCCCTAATGATATATTGGCCTCTTCCCTTTCGGATGTTACTTCTCTCTCTCCTCAAGCCCACCTTATCCCCAAGTCCAGGTCTGGGTTTCAAGCTAATTAATTTTCCCTACGGTACCTTATGAGATGGATGAAACTGGGCCAAGGACCCTGGAGAGCGGATGCCAGGTGCTTATCCCTGCCATATGTCAGCTGAAAGGGTCTAGGGATGCCTGTGACAGCTTCTAAAATATTTACTATTTCTATTCAGACCTGGAGACACAGTCGGCATAGAATTGCCTTGTGCCTTGTACTTCATGGCCCCCATTACAGGTTAGGGGCTGGGCCTGGCTGTCAGGCTGACCTGGTGTTGGCATGTTTCCCTACATGGGAGTAACTACTACCTATCTTACTGGCCTAAATTAACACAAAGGGGCTACTGGACACAGGTAAGCACCAAACACTATCTCCATAAAGAGGAAGAGGCTACTCCAGAGTCTGAGAACCCCTGTTTTAGCATATTATGGAAATATTAGGACAAATAATTCTTTGGATTCAATTCCAAAAAGTTATTCTAAAGCACATGGAACATGAAAGCAGCATTTAAGAGTCATTTATTAAAACAGCCAGCTCTCTTTTCAAGATTCTGCAGCTGCTTTAATGCGTTTCTGTCAGCTATTGCATTTATGATCCCTTGACCTTCAAAACATTTTTTCAGAACTGAATCCAAACACATAATTAAAACAAAGAAAAAAACCCTGCTAACCACAAAATCACATTAAACTGAAAAATAATGCACCAATGCAGCCATTTTAGCTATGCATATATGCAATTTTTTCTGTCTATATCACTCAAGCATTTTAAATAGCTAGATAACGTTTTGTTCATTTATGGTGTCATCAAATTCTAAAAGCAAATGTTTTTGAAATTATAATGTTACAAAGTCTTTTAACCGTATTACAAAGCAATTCTAAATAAAACATTGTTTTGGCAATGTCAGAAGCACGCTTTCTAGTTTCCAGAAAGGGTTATAACCAGAGACCCTTACCAGAATCTGTGGGTTGTTCTGATGTAGACACCATTCCAGTAACTGCTGAAGTTGCCACAGGTGGTACAGACTATGAAAACACAGCAAAACAAATTAATTTGTTCTTTTTATTCTTTTGTAGGTTGGGACAATCATCAATATGTCATCATTCCCATCATTTTTCTTAAGATGCAGATACAAAAGCAAAGCACTTATGAATATCCACTGTAGCAGACTGATACCACTAGGAACTAGTTCAGCTAATTTCCATACTGAATGTTCCAGAATGTTGGTGTTATTGTAAAAAAAAACCACATACCCCTCTTATTTGTTGCAGGGAAAGAATTCTGAACAGGCACTGGACTGCATCATTTTAGACTACAGTTATGACATGAGGCAAGTTAAGATGATGCTCGAGGGCACCTCTCTTGATGTCGACTAGGCTCCATTTACCTCTGACTTTAATTTTTAAAATTAGAGATGAACTGAAAACTACCATATGCTCTAAAGCAAAACTCAAGCACTTTGCAACTTTTTGTCTCCAAGACTGGCTTGGATTTTATACAAGCTTCCTTAGAAAATAAAAATGGTAACCAGTGCTTTGGCAGAAACTGTATTTCTTATCAGAAAAAGGAAAATCCTATATATGTCAATACAATTTGCGATTCTAAGAAAATGGTGGGAATTTTTTTTTGTTAGTCTGCATTTTATAAATGGTTATCTTATAACCATCCATACCCAACGTGACACCAATTTCAAAGCAGTCCTTTCATTAAGAAACCAAAACATGTACTCAACATCTACATGTGTTTATTAGCTACAAAAGCAGACCTCATGTTGGTTCAACCACCCAAAATAAACACTCAAAGATCCGCCACTGTTTCTGCCCTGTCTGGTGATGATCAGAAGGGGAGTAGTGGCAATAAAATTTTCTCTTTTTTTTTTTTGCTTCAGAAAGGGGGATGCTTAAGTGGAAAATATGTGCCTTAAGCCTAGCAGACCTTTAAGATTCCTATTATCCCCATCATTTGTCTTTGGGAATGTGTGGCATACCACAAAAGTACAGAGATAAATATCCCATGGAAAGAATCAACTTACTTTGGTGGAGGAGGGTTGGAATTTGTAAAGTGCTGGGAATGCTTCATTAAATTTCTGCAACACTTAAAGCAAACATTTTACCACTTAAAATTTTCATCCCCAACACTGGAAGGAAAAAAAAATCCAACCTTGGGAAAAAAACAGGTCTAAAAATACTGGGAAATTCAATGGTGCTGCAAAAGGCTGGGCATATTGGCTTGTGGGCAGTTCTAGAGTATGAAACAAGCAAAACAAGCCAGCAAATCTGATTAGCACTCTTAAAATTTTCTGAAGAATTGCAATCAGCTCATAAGCAAATGAATATTTTCAAGTTATTTTTAATCAAGACGTACACATGCAGTTGTTGTAACCATCTCTGGACTCAGAGTTCTTCTCAACTGGGCATCCAGATCTTCCAAAGGTTGTTGGGACTAGAAGAAGGAAGAACAATTAGACTTTGTTTCCTAAAGCATCCTAATGCACATGACATCTTTAACATGCAACAAATATCTGAACAGTCATATCTTTATATACACAAAACTAAAGTTTTATGGTCAAACATATTCAAGGCATTTGGCATATAAAGATTGGCCTTTATGAAGTCTCTAATTTTATATACATTCAATTTGCCCATGGCAATCTTACTTGAAACATCTGAAAGTATATTGCAACATTAAAAAAAGAATATAAGTATATACTAACAACTCTACTGAGACATTCTTGTGATTGTCAAGATACAAACCTCATGGATCCTCTTTTTTTCTGAGCTGATATAAATATGCCTATCCACTCCTTTGTATTTTTCATACTGCCATTTAGAAATTTCTCAACAACTTTGTTTTTGCATAATAAATGTGGGTTAAATATAAGTTATCTGCACAGTGACAAATGCACAAGTAAAATCACAATCACATCTACTTGACCCATGCTTATTACATTAAGTAGTTAATGGTTAATTGGTAACCCGTGTGCATGTATCAATTCTTGCTATATAGCACAATAATTGAAAAAGGGAATGGAGTAATTCACCAATGCCATCTATTTCCTTCACACATTGAAAAACACATTAATGATTTAGTTGATTCTTGGGGCTCAATCCTTCAAAGGCCTATTAAGAAAGAATTAAGTCGAATTGTTTAGAGCTCTATCCTCACTGTGCATAGATAGGATTTCAAAATCCAGGTAGCCTTTACTACCATGTAAAATACTATGTCTGATTAGCAAATTAATACTTTTAAGTTATATTTTATTGTATTTGCGATCAAGTTTACATATAGATTTCCAGCATATCCAACTGTATGTTTTGTAACCCTTCTAGCATTGTGTTATGAAGGAATAGTATTGAAAATATTTTTAAAAAACAGACACTAGGTAAAGACACTATATAAAATATAAACTGTGTAATTCAGAGTTTAGCAGTTTAGTTATTTGGAGAGTCCCATGCAGGACTATAATAATACCGATTCTCAGAAATTCAGCATAGGTTTAAGATTTGATTTAACCATTACATATATTTGGTTTAGCATGAAGCAACAAAGCATTAAAATTAACTTAACAAATATTGCACATCTTAATCACAATGACAGTGTTTCCAATTCAAGAGACTACATGCCCTGATTTTTTTTTAAAAGATATCTTGCAATAAAAATGTAATCATATATGACATTGCTTTTTATATTTCTCTCTCTCTCTCTTTCTCTCTCTCTCTCTCTCTCTGTGTGTGTGTGTGTGTGAGTGAGAGAGAGAGGGAGAGAGAGAGAGAGAGACTCTGCCTTTCTTCTAAATGCTGAAGCCACTTCCACAGAGATTGTCCTTATTTCTGTCAGACAACAGCAACCCCATGAAGTAGGCTGCATCCAGAGAGTGGCTGGCCCAAAGCCACTCAGTTGGTCTCTATTATCGAATGTGAACTTTACCCCTCTCTAGTTCTTGTCCAACATCTTAGACACACTAGCTCTAAAATGATATATCCACATAGTACTCTCCAGCATTAGTTAATGTAGATACGGCATCTACAACAGTTTTCAGCAGATGGAAGTGCATGTTCAACCTTGTTTGGGCTTCCAAATCTAAGTGGAGTTAGGGTTGGTTAGTTCTTGGATGGGAGACAAGGGCTGTAGATTACACAGGGAAATCAAAAAGAATAAGGAAGCAATGATAAACCATTTCTGTATCCTGTCAGGATAACTGTGTGGACACATCTATGAACTTTCCAATTCCTATAATCAAGATCCACAGAATTGAAAAGGCTCATATCATTTATACACTGATCAGCAAACACCGAAAATAGTATTTCCTATAAAAACATTGCTTATAAGTGCCCCAAAGATTTCTGGCTGACTATTTATCAAAAACAACACACTGTATTTTTCATCTGTTTCCTAAAGTGGTCCCCATTACCAACTGAACATGAAGCACTAGGACTTTATTCACTGGATGTACCATTATTTTAAAGAAAAAAAATACCTCTAACAAACTCATTACATGTCAAACATCGGAACACATTTAAAAGGAACTATGCACTGATATCAAAAAAGCTTAATATCTTTACATCAGTTAATGGAAAAGTTCAGCAGCTATTTTGTGTTGGGAGGGAGAGGGACTGAAAATAAAAATACCTTCAAATAAGAAGTCTCTCTATTATTAAGTGAGATTATGCAAGAAAAAGTTGCCCAGTTAAAAAAAGGGTGGAGGAAGAACTATCATGCAATAGAGTTTAATTGAAGCATGCTCATTGAAAGAAAAAAAAAGGAGAAGCGGATAGCCATAGAGCACCTGAGTTAGTGTAGGTCCCGGAAAGGGTGGCAGCTGCTCACTGGATAGAGCACCAGTTGGAAGTTCAGAACCTACTGGTAATCCCTATGGATAGACATGAAATTAAAGTTTAGTGACAGAAGCAAAAATTGAACTTCACATGAAACAGAAGTATTTTGTTCTAGAGCCTCCAATAGTTAAAAAGACCATCAACTTCAGTTATGATTAATTGCTGAAATTCTTTATATCAGTAATACACAAAAAAACAAAACTTCAACAAAGATGCTAACCATTTTCAGACCCAAAGGTTTGATCATAATCAATGGAATGTGCATTTCTTTTTTTTTGGGGGGGGGAGAGATGACAATCTGATATATATATTGGGCAGAATATATTTCATGAAAACATAGTTTAGTTCTGTCCAAATACCAAATTGGCACTTCTCTTAAAAAAAAGTTATACCTTTTTGTCTAAAACTGGGCAATTTCTATCATTTTAAAGGTATTTATTTTGCTTGGAACTTTTCCCCCCATTCTGTTAAAAAAATAAGAATAGCCATATCCATTTTTAGTTCCCCCAAGCTCATAAATGAAAGGCAAACATCTTATTAGAGACCCTGGGTAAACTCTAATCCAAGCTAATTTGAACAAATTTTCAATGTGACAAAATAAGTCCAAACCAAAATGGTTAATGCACATCACTAGTATTTTGATAAAAAGCACTGAGGGAATAGTTAATATTTTAAACCCCTTCTGTGTGTTACACAGAGTTTGAACATGTATTGTTTAGATAGACATACTCTCGTTTCCATGAAAATAAGACCTAACCGTAAAATAAACCCTAGCATTATTTTTTCAGGATGCTCGTAATATAAGCTCTACCCCAAAAATAAGCCCCAGTTGAAATCGTCAGCCAGACGGACGCATTTAGTACCGTAAGACTTAACTGGAAAATAAGCCCTAATGCGTCTTTTGAAGCAAAAATTAATATAAGACCTGGCCTTATTTTCGGGGAAACACGGGTAGTTGTCATGTGCTTAATTCAAAAACAAATTCATTCACAGCAAGACAAGCTAAAGTCAGGCTACAGCTGAAGGTTATACTTATTTGAATTGTTCATGAGATTGGCCTAGCTACCATGCAAATGAAGGAAAATGTTATCAAATATGCTGAAGGAAACTGTAAAATTGGTTGTTTTATTAAAAGATACTGGAGCATGCAAATTCAAGAGTGGAAATGCTACATTACCAACATTTGTTAAAACAGATGCACCAAAATGAGGCATATCAGCCTAACAGGAAAGTTCTGGATATTTCCATTATACAAAATAGCAGTGAGTCTAAAGAATGGAATGCAGAGTTTTGAACATCTCCCTCTCCACTCCTCCATCAAAAATAGGTAGCTGTATAAAATTTAGTCTGGAATTATACTTCATTATAAACCTTTTTTTTAAAAGAAAGAACATTAGAAGTTGTTGCAATATATCTTTATATATGATAATTTGGGGGGATTGTTTAACTCTACATAAGAACACACAAAGGTTATCATGTTAGTATCTTTGTAAAAAAAGATGACTATATATTGCAAAATCCACTGTGCATCTATCTGTTTATTACCTTCTATATCTATAATTACGATTAGTTGTTCATATAAAACAAAATGGCCGGAATGAGTTAATTTGATCTTCATTTGTTTTCTTCCAGAAAACTTAAAAATAAACTCAGTCTCTGTCTGAGTTTTTCCAAACTCCTGTAACCTGTTAGTTTTCCCTGTGTACAACACCATCGATGTTCTCTTTAATTTGGCAAAGAAATGTGGTTCATAATTTCCCCCAATTAATATTTAAATGGAGACAGCACATTATTCAGCTGTGATTGCAGACCTTAATCTGGGGATTCACACGTATGGCATATGTTCCTACACAAATCAATATTCTGAAACATACTCTAGCTGAGGTTTTTTTTTTGGCAGAAAGCTACCTGTCATGGTTCCGACTAATGAAACACTTCAAAGAACTTCCAGGCATTTTATCCTAAAAAAAGTCTTTTTATTTATGTGACAAAATGTCGGCACAGGCATGAAGAAAAGGACTTTTTTAGGATAAAATGCCTGGAAGTTCTTTGAAGTGTTTCATTAATCGGAACTACGACAGTATGCTAAGATCTAAAATCCCCCCCCCCACGGAGCAGTTATTTTGTTAGCATTTCCCTCCCCTATTTAGCTGTCATGATTTACGTCCTCCAATTAGTTTGAAGGGCAAACTCCCTCTCTCTCCTCTGAATTAACTCTAAAAGTACCAGACAGTTCAGCATATTTTGTCAAAGCAAGAATTACAATATTAGCAGCGTTGACACTACCCTTCAAAGATAAACTGAGATGGAAGGGAGGAGGAAGAGAGTGCATTAGTTTGGCAAGATTTCTTTCTATAGGTAAGGAACAACAAAGAAAATTGCTCAGAAGAATCTTAATACGTCTTCCTTGATTACTGAAACCTGACATAGACTCCATCCTGTTGCGTTCAATTTCCTGGTAATTATTCAGTTTCAGGACATTATAAATAAATGTGCCATTAGTAAGCACATTTAGCAGGGAAAGGGTCACATGAATCTACATATGACCGACCATTCAAAGGATTATAACTATAGTACAGTGTGCAAGTAGTCCTGGCTTAACAATGCTGAGATCGGAAACTCTGTCACTAAGCAATGTAGTTGTAAGTAGAAAAACCCTGTGACCCCTTTGGTTAGCAATAGCAGTTCTGGCACTCTGGCATCATTAGGAGAAAACCATGTAGGTCATTAAGCAAGAACCTCAAGTGACCCCAACTTGCAACTTCCTTCTAGCTATCCATTGACTTTGTTTGTCACAAGCCAGGGAAAGCCACAAATCATGATCACATGACTGTGGGACACTGCAACGGCCATAAATATGAGAACTAATCATAACTATCACCTATTCAGCATAGTCATACTTTCGAAGAGTCACAATATGTAGCTGCTAAGCAAAGACCACTTGCAATTCTGTGATTTTGTGTGGTATCTGTGCACCACACACATAAGATTTTATTTATTTTTATTCCACCTTTATTATTTTAATAAATAACTCATGGTGGTGAACGCACTTTAACACTTCTTCTTCCTCCTATTTCCCACACAACAACAACCCTGTGAAGTCAGTTGGGCTGAGAGAGACTGACTGGTCCAAAGTCACCCAGCTGGCTTTCGTATCTAAGACAGGACTAAAACTCACAGTCTCCTGGTTTCTAGCCTGGTGCCTTAACCACTAGACTAGATTAGTTGAGGACGCAGATATGTACTGTAACTTTACAAAATACACAGCTATGATGATATTTAGTCACCGTAGCCTTAGCCCTCCATAAATTTATCAGATTTAAAGCCATCCAGGTTGGTGGCTATCACAGCATTTTGTAGTAAATTATATAATTTAGTTATGCGTGATATTGTTAAATATGTTTTATCCAATCAAATTCCTTACCATTCCATTTCATTGAGCGAGCCAACATTTTATTACGATAAGTAGGTAAAACTTTTCTCCGGCCACCTCCTTCCACCTCACTCATAACTTTTTATATCTATTATTCCCCTTTTGCTTTGCTTTTCTAAGCAGAAGTACAGAAAACACTAATATTTATAAAGCACACAACTAGATGCAAAGAGCTAAAACAGATGAACGAATGCTAAGAAACCTACGCAGGTTGAACCAAGGAAAGCACGGATAAATATTTAGCAAGCTTCTCATTTCACATGATTTAAAATGCTTTGATAAAAATACTGGATTCCTCACCGATGCCCTGCTAAGAGGTGGTTTTGAAGGAGGTGTCCCTGGTTTAGTTGTTGCTGTTGCAGGACAGCACGTCACTGAGACAGAACTAACTGGGGTGCCTGCTTGTCCTGGAGTGACAACCGGTGTCATGACAGGAAGACCTGTTGGACCAAGCACCAAACTTGCTGGTGGCATACTGGTAGTTGCAATGGACGCCACAGGCTTTGTGGGTGCAACGGTCGTACTTGGCAAGCCAGGAATGGCTGTGGTCTCCATTGTTAAAGATGTTTCCAGGGACACAGAGGGGTGAGCTGTTCCAATTCCACCATGTTCACTGAAGAGGGATCGTAGTTTTTCCTCCAGGGTTTTTATGTCATCTATGCCAGGTGCTTTGGGCTGGGTGTCAATATCCCCTTCTAGAGAATGAGTATGAGGCTGATTGGGTAATGGAGCTGGTTGAGGCTGACTATGTATTAAAGTCTGCTGGACAACAGGTATATTAGCTACTGGCTGTGCCATTGGTACGCTACCAGGCAAAGGGACCTGGGGTAATACTGGGGTAGAGACTGCACCCAACGATGTTGCAAGACTAGATGAGGTAACTATAGGTGGGACGGGTAACGGCTGTACCACAGATTGCTGGGAGCTGCTGCTAGACGTACACGGGGCTCCTGTAGAGAGTATTGGTACAGAAACATGCACAGGTACTTCACCTGTATGGCACAGCTGTGGATTTTCTGATGCCTGTTCGCTTTCTGATCTTGGCTGCAGCACACTAACCACTACCATTTTTGCTAGGCTGGGAACAGAAGTGCTGGTGTTCAACTGAGAAGACTGTGAAACAATGCTCTGTGCCATAGACACAGGAATTGTTTGAGAAGTTGTTGAAACAGCACTACCAACTTGCTGGGATGGCACTGATGGTGCCATAACACCTGATATTGTAACACTAGGCCCTGTTGTTCCAGCTTGTGGCAACGTCAGAGAAGCAGGTGTGCTAATACTAGAAACAATTTCTCCAGTAGCAGAAGCTGCCTGGACTACAGTTGTTGATGAAAATGAAGGTGTGCTGACACTCAAAGCTAGTCCACTATTCAACTGTGACCCAGGCAACACTGGTGGTGGAGAGCTTGGGACTGACAATTCTTCACTTGCTGGAAGCCCTGCGGTTGCCTTTTGTGTGGACTGAGTTGCTGATAAAGAAATACTACTGGAGGGAGGAAGTGATGCAGAAGAAGCAGTTACACTTGTAGATGGCAGCCCATTGACACCTGAAGCTACAGTGGGAAAAGGAGGCATAGCTTGGTTGAAAACTGGGGGAGCTGTGCTAGGCCCTTCAGTGTGTTGCATATGCTTGAGATCTGAGAAAGCTTGCTGCAGACTGACTGATGATGCAGAATGTGAGAGATTCATCCCAGGACCATGAGGTGTGAAAGCAGCAACTGAAAGAAAAAGACACAAGTCAACTTGTGAGAAGCCAGCAGGGAAGGTCAAAAATTATGATCATGTGACACAGACACTGCAATGCTTGAAAATCTAGGTCGGTTGCTGACCGTGGGGGCACTGCCACAGATGGAACTTCAAAAACCACTCATAAATTCAAATAGTCACTGAACAAGTGGTCATTAACCAAGGACCACCTGTATCATCTTCCTAACAAAACAGTACAATAGCTTACAACATAAATCAAATTCTAAATTCAATACAGAACGTATGTGTATGTGTGAGTATAGACACAGAAAGTGAATGTAGCCTAAAGCAGGAGCATGTGACACTAACAAAACCACTAAATAGTATTACTGATTGGCCCATTTTTTAAAGACTTGGAAAACAGCTGAAATCTCATGAGATATTCAATGCTTTAAATCTTTCCTATGATTTCATTTTGATTGTTTTTAATTTTAAGATTTCATGTGATACCCAGATAAACACAATTGTTCGGGTTAGTTTAGACAAGAAACATTAAAAGCCCAATACAGATAAAAAGAGCATGTCACATGTCAATAGTCATACAAAGAGAACCTTTGAAGATGCTCTCAAACTCTAGATGTGTATATCTGGTGAAAGGTGGATGTTTTAGGTCAGGGTAATTTACACCATTTTTAATTAAAACAAGTCCAACTAAACCAAGCCCATATCTGAAAGCAATATGAACTAACATTTTGTATAGGAATGCTGTTTTAACTTACCTGAATCAAAAAGCTCATATTCTGGTGGAATGGAAGTGAAAAATTTCTGTTCTCGCAATCTACTTTCTGGTACAGGACTGACAATGAATCTTCTTCCAGCGGAATGGACTACCTGAGTAAATGAATTAGGAGGTACACCTAAAATAACAAGAAGAAACTGGTTATAGATGTGCAATTACATGCAATCCAATTTCTAACTCAGTGCAAAGTTCATACATTCGACTACAGGTAGTCCTCATGTACGATGACAAATTGGGACTGTCACTGCTAAGTGATGCAGTCATAAAACATGACATCATATGACTGCACCACTAAGCGATGACAATCTTGGCAGTCCTAGTTGTCACTGTAACCTCGTTACCAGCATGACATAGTGACATTCCTTACCACCTTCCCAGGGTGGTAAGGGAAAGTGGCAGGGAAAGTTGCAAATTGTGACCATGTGGTGGAACAGCTGGAACTTTGAGGACTGTTTGTAAGTACCACTCATTGCAACCTCAAACAGTTGCTGAATGAGTGGGCAGTAAGCAAGGATTACCCATAATGGAATAGGTGGTTGAAATCTTAAAAGTATCCAAGATCAAAATCACCAATGCC